TCTCAATTGGGTTGGATCATTTCCGGAACACTATTACTGATGATTCGAATCTACTAACACTTTTACAGTGAATAATCTTCAGTTGAATACAAACGAATTAGTTGAAAGATTTTGGTCTTTAGACTCCATTCCGGAAGTCAACCGTATTTCAAGTGAAGATAAAAAATGTGAGAGTTCTTTAAAACCACACTCCGTGATCAAAATGGTCGTTATGTAGTGAAACTCCATTTAAAGATAACCTTCACGGTTAGTAATTTAAAGATCTTGCTTTACAAAGATTTAAAATCTTTAGAGAGAAATCTCTTTAAGATCTCCGATACGTATGATATGTATAAACATTTCATGAAGGAATACTTGGATCTCGGGCACATGGAACCAGTCGTAGTTCAGAGTCCCCAAGTCAGGCATACTACATGCCACATCAGCAGTAATTAAGGAATCTAGCTCTACGAGTAAAATACGTGTTGGATTTGATGCTATAGTAAGTCTCATCAGGACTGTGTCTTAACGACATATTGATGAACAGTTCCCAGAAACAACAAGAGCTGTTTCCAGTTTGGTCAATTCAGATGTTACCCAGTATTGTTCACAGCTGATATCATGAAAATGTTTAGACAATTCTAGTTAATGAAGAGAATAGAAATTTCAAAGGATATTTTGGCGGGACCTCAAGTGATCCTATTCAGAATTTCGACTTAATACTGTCACATACGGCACTGCCTCGGCTCCATATTGGCTATCGTGCTTTATACCACTGCCTACGATGAGCAGAATAACTATCCTTTAGCTTCGAAGGCTTGTACTTCAAATTTTTGTAGATGATTGTTGGTAGGTGCTCAAAACCTGAAGAGTGAAAAAATCTAGTAAATCAACTCTTGCAAATATTAGAACGTGGAGGATTTCTTCTGCGTAATGGTCATCCAATGACTTGTCAGTGTTAGAGAATATACCCCAGGAGGTGAGAAATGATTCTGAAGCTATGAAAATTAAAGACGATAGCTCAATCAAAGTTTAGGAATTAATTGGAACCCCCATGAAGACACTTTAACTTTTCCGTATCATTTCTGTGAAAAGCTTAAATACTCTAAAAAGATATGCTTTCTGATTAGCGAAAATATTTGACCCATTGGGTTGGCTTGCTCCTTGTATTATTTATGTCAAAATCTTGATACAAGACATGTAGAAAACTCCATTTATCGTGGATGAACCTGTTAGTGATGAGATTGCTAACAAATGGAAGACTTTCCGAAATGATTTACATCTTATTCAACAATTAAAAATACCGAGATTTGTTTGATTCCTGACGTGAACTATATTAATATCTGTACTTTTTTGTGATGCCTCCGAGAAAGGCGACTACGCAGCAATTTATTTGCGTTCAGTGTCACGTAATTGACAACAAGTAACACTCTTAACATCAAAAACAAGAGTGCCCTCTGAAAGTGCAATCATTACCTCGATTAGAGTTATGCGCGCAGTTTTGTTAGTGAATTTGCTTAAATCAGTGTTAGAACATTTAGAGTTTCTAAACGTAAAGTTTGGCCTGGACAGATTCAACTGTTTACTGTCTGGATTTCTGCAGAACCATACCGTTGGGTTCCCTTTTTTTGCAACCGCGTTGCTAAAATACAGAATACAATACCTAAGTAAGGTGGAACCATATCAATGAAGCGGGAACCCACCTGATTCAGCTATAAGAGGAATGTTCCAGCAGAATTTCTGAAGTGTGAACGATGGTTCATTGGACACTTGGTTATATTCAGAAGATTTCGAACCATGTCCTGACAGTGAACATCCTTATGTAGATTATGAAGGAGTTCGTAGAGAAGAAAAAAAAACTTGCCATTTCAGTATTTGTGAGTAAAGGAAAATGACATTTTTAAATGGTATTCATCTTGGACAAAATACGTCGTATAGTTGCATTATGCCTAAGATTTATTTACAACTGTCGAAACTTCTCCGAAAATCGTTTGAGAGGTTTTCTGACACCGATAAGCTTCGATTAGCTACAAAAACAGTGAGAAAAAATGTCCAAGAATATTTTCCTCAAGAGCTCTCTTATTTAAAAACATCGAGAGAATTAAAAAATGTGAGCAGCCGAGTAATACATTAACTCCCTTCCTTGATGAAGAAGGCGTCATTCGAGTAGGTGGTTTAAAAATGCATGCAAACATTCCTGAAAATAGCAAACATCCTATTTTGCTAACAAAGGAAGGACATGTCACTAATCTCATCGTAACTCATTACCATGTCAATTATTTGCATGCTAGTCAAGAGTTATTAATAAGCACTTTACGAATGCAGTTTTGGATTCTTTCAGTGAGAAGGATTATTCACAGATGTATTCCTTGTATTAGAAATCGAGGGAAGACTGTGACCCAGATAATGGGTGATTTACTCTCGCCTAGAGTTCAACCATCAAGACCTTTTGCAGTCAACGGTGTTGATTATGCTGGTCCATATTCTATTAAGTCCCAAGTTGGGAGAAGAACAAAAACTTTCAAGTGTTACATATCCAATTTTGTGTGTTTCTCAACAAAAGCTGTACACTTAGAGTTAGTCAGTGATCTATCAACTTCAACGTTTTTAGCAGCTCTAAAAAGATTTATCGCCCAACGAGGCAAACTATCTAAAATTTCGAGTGACTGTGCTACTAACTTCAAAGGTGCTAGTGAGGAACTGAAGGAGATTTATAAAAATGCAGCTCGCATTGAGAAAAGCAGTGAATTATGTGACTACATTACCTCAGAAGGTATAACTTGGTTATTTAATCCTCCGACATCTCCTCACTGCGGTGGCTTGTGGGAAATTTCATCTTAAACGAGTATTAGGATCCACAGTTCTAACTTACGAGGAATTTTTAACAGTGCTTACACAAGTAGAAGCGTGTATGGATTCCCGTCCTCTTTGTGCGATGTCTAGTGATCCAAACGACTTTAGTGCATTGACTCCAGGTCGTTTTCTGATTGGAGCCCCTTTGCTTGCCATTCCGGAATCTGACTTGAGTGATGTGAAATCTTCACGATTTAAACGTTGGTCTCTAGTTCACAGATGTGCAACATTTTGGAAACGATGGTGTGCAGAATATTTAACAACACTTCAACACGTGCTAAGTGTTTTCGTGCGTCTCCAAATCTAAAATGTGGTGATTTAGTTCTGATCAAAAACGAACAAACTGCCTCCAAACCAATGGAAAATTGGAAGAATGCCTTTATTCATCTAGGTAGTTATAAAAAAGTTCGAGTGGCTACAATCCATACAGCCGCTGGTGATTTCAAACGAGCTGTTACTAATTGTGTCTTATCCCCAATCATGACTAATATGAACTATTGAATTTTTTCATATTTTGAACTTTAATTTTAGTTATATTTCAATTAATTTTTTGTTTGTTAATGTTATTATGTATGCTTTAACTATTTGTCTTTTTTGAACCCTTAGAAGGCTTCAAGGACGGGGGCTATGTTTAGTATTTTTTGTTACCAAACGATTTACTAGTGTGTCTTTGCAACATTAGATGGCGTTGCCGCCTGATGATTCAATTCTGGTTGCTATGGTAACGAACTTTCCAACTCATAATTTAGTGATTTGTATTCTATTCTTTTTTGTTTATTAATTACTACTGTGCTTGGAGTGATGTGAGCTGTGTCGTCAGTGGACGGCATTCCTTCTATTTGAAGTGTTGTGTAAAATAAACAAGTGATATTACAGTCCGCTTACCTTTTTTTGTGAACTTATTCATAACATGGTACAAAAGTACGAATTAATTTATTATTAACTGCAGCATATATTTTCAATAAAATAATATTAAAACATTATTTACTTACAAATGATTGTATTTGTACGCTTTGTTTTCAGAGCTTCCGGTAAAAATAAACAAACATAATTTTTATGTGTCTGTAGATGACTGTTCTGGCAGAAGGTTATAAAGTATTTCTCCCGCCTTCTTAGCATGCCTTAGTCGTGTAGTGGTAAGTGCACTCAGCGCGCATTCGTGAGGTCCGTGGTTCGAGTCCTGGCGAGGACATTGCTCATTTTTCATCTCTCCTGCTTTCAAAAAGTACCTCATTTCTCTACAGTGGCGCTCGAACTAAAAAAGTTGGTGGATGATGATTCTCCACCACCAGATTTTGGTGATTAGGTCCCCTAATCCCCAGTCGCCCTTTAAAAGGGGGAGTATATAAGGTATTTCCACCGCCTTCTTTGCATGCCTTCATGGTGTCGAGGTCAGTACACTCGAAGTGTGTTCGAGAGGTCCGTGGTTCGAGTCCCGGCGAGGGCATTGCTCCTTTTCATCGCTCCTGCTTTCAAAAAATACTTCTACAAATGTCTCTACAAGGTCAGGTTGTATGGATTATGGCAAAGCACACAAAGACTGTTTGTTTAAGAAAAGGGATATTTCTCGGGAGGACTTTCTATGGGAAACAGGCTGGTTTTTATATTACAGTGGAAAAAGCCAGGAAAAGGCCTACCCAGCCAGCTCTCGCGGTGACATTTAAACCACGGTCAAAATAGTAATGTTAGCGATCTTACTGATCGACCGCTGGTAAACGTTGAATAGACCAAAACTGCCTTAAACTCCATCCGAGATCATCCTGTGTAATTATTGAGTGAACTCTACAACTGGCAGTACTGAAATAGGCTATGAAAAAGTTTATATATATATATATAACGCATATTTCCAATAAATAGTTTAAACATACTATTTTTATTGGCAGATCTACCTACCAGAACTAGTTTCCATAGATTCACGTAGAAATAAAAAAGTATAATATTATTAAAAAGAAGTATTCGAAGATGGTAGTTGAACGCAGAAAAATGGAATCATTTTCTGTCTCAGACCATCCTGCGTAATTATTGATTCACAATAAATAAGTTTGATTTACAGTAATGATACTAACTATTAAAAAGGTCTTTATTAAATATAACCCATATTTTTAATAAATATTGAAAATATATTATTTTTTATAAGACGATGCACTTGCCTAAACTATTTTCCGAAACTTGAGGTAAAAAAAGCAAGCATAATATTATGAATTCTCTGAAGATGAAAGTTGCTGGCAGATAAATGGCCTTCTTCCATCCGAGACCTTCCTATTTAAGTAATGTGTGAACTGCAGTTCTAGAAAAGAAACACAAAGCTTTCGCTTTCTGATATAGATGCATTTTTCATTCAGTCTTTTGTATGCAATTTACCTTGATGCAACATTTCTGGTGGTCCTACGAGATCTTAACTGTCTTGCATCTGACAATTACGATAAGAAATTATCATATATGTATTTTTTTCTCTTCGCCTCCCCATCAGTGACCAAGTGACTAAAAATCGCTGAATACTGATAATTGGACCTACTTTAGAGACCACTGGGATGACTGCATGATTCGATTTCGAGATGTTTTCTATATATAACGGAAATTCGAGCTAGTTTCAATTATGAAGTCTACATTAAGGCATACTTCCCTTTAGACTACTAGCCGGTGTGTGCTTTGCAGTATTCAAATAACTTATTGTAATCGGCTCTATTGTCTTTTCAAGGCAAAATTTCAAAATTTTCAAATGGCATCATACCATTCTTTGCATTTTAGAAAAAGTGGTTCAAACTGGGTGAGAACTAATGACTGTTAGATTTATGTTCTTCTCATACCACGAAAAATAAATCAGACCGATTGCTCATTTCATTGAGTATTATTATTTTTTGTATGTAAAAATAGTTTTTTTTAATTGAAAATGTTAAATCCCACATAGTATTACACAAGGCTTACATAGGAAAGTAAAAAAAAAAAAAAAAAAAAAAAATACAACAACACAACACAAAATAAAATAAACTTACAAATTCACAGATGACACGTAAGAGATAAATTTACAGAAGAAAGAGAAAGCCATTTTGTATGTTGGACAAATACGTGAAGAGGGGGAGGAAATGTAATATTCACAGAGTTTAACCTAGTATTGAGTTCCTTTCGTCCTTCCTTGAGCTTTGAACTATACAATAACAAATGTTCGACATTTTGCACTTCCCCAAAACTGCATGAACACAAATCTGTACTAGATAATCTAAATCTCTTCAGATATGAATTGAATTTACCATGTCCAGTTAGAAATTGAGTAACTTCAAAATTGCATTCGCAATATTTGCCTTTTACTATTTCGTCTTATAGTATTTTAGAATTTAACCACTAAAAAAGTCTTTATCTAAATGATCTGGATTTAAATTAAAAGAGAGAAAGGCATCTAAAATTTCGCTGAAGTGATAAAATATCTGAAATAAATTATACTATCATATATGCTCAATGTCTACTGAGAAAAAAGAAATCTAAAAAAAAGACGATTTTACGATTGTTGGGGATAAGTTTTGAAAAAGCAGCCAAAATGCTCTTTTGAAAATTTCATTGATTGATATATAGTTGAACTATTATTGTAGTACAAGTTTTTTTTTCCCTTGAGAATAAGTATATTTAACTAAGTTATTCTTGTAAAGCTTAGTTATTAATTGAAAGCTGTCAAGCATGCCAAAAATTTTAATAAATGTATTACATAATATGAAATTAACTTAAGCGAAGAAAATGAATTTTATTTATTAGAGAGTTAATTCAGTTAGACTGATTGAATTAATAAAAACGTCCACAATAAAATAAAAATCAAAACACATAAAATTATAATGCAAACGTTTTGTTAAATCATTTCTTTTTGACAGGAGATTACAACGAATTACAACAGGTTGATCTGGAAATTAGTTAATGTGACAAAAACAGCTTTGTTAACTAAGGTTTAGTAGATCTTTAGCTTTTGAATGTTTGGTCGAATAAAAAAAGAACACGAATATTAGGAAAAATAAATGAAATAGATTCCTTTGGTCCCCTCCCCGCAAAAAAAATATGCAATCAATTCCTTTCTATTGGATTACTAGAATGGAATACGATCCTTTTATTTGGATTTGCCTTTCATATTCTGCATTCCTGAGAGGTAACGCAAGATAGCTCTCATCTTAAGATTGCGTAATCGAGCCAAGCAGTATGTTCCATCTCGTTAAGGCGAAGCGAATATTTACTGCGCATGCTCCAGACGAAGCACTGCCAGGAAGCTGTCTTTTAGGAGTCATTCACTCACCAATCGGGTGTTTACAGGCCAGCTGCTGTTTTTCGTTCGAGCGCTTGTCAGGCTCCTGATGATTTTCTGACAAGAAAACTGCGAAACTGTAAGTAAGTTTTCTAAGCAAGTAAACTTACTGCTTTTAACTGAATGCTTTAGGTGAAATAAATAAATATGTTTTTGTAATAACTTGCTTTAGTAATCGCATAAATAGCGGGGTTCTCTAAATATATTCACGTGGAGTTCTTCATAAGTTTTCCGGATGCGTAAAACGTTATTATGTATTAAATTAACATAAATTATTTAAATAAAATATAAAGCTTGTTTATGTCAAATAAAAGTATTGAACAATAAATCTTAAAATTTGTTGCGGATATATGTTAGTAATGTATATATATATTGAATAATCGCTGATTACATTATTTTTTATCAGTCTAGCAGCTTTTATATCAAAATCTTTGTTTAACATAGTTAAAAATTCTAGTTTTAATATGATATAAAGAATGAGCGTATATCTTAGAGACAGATAGTAATACTTCTAGGTAAAATGAAAAAAAGGAAAACAATAAAACGAATTGATATAATTTTGCGTATAGTACAGATTAATAGCCGCTTTAACTATATTTAATATCCACTGTATCTCGAAGTCACTTTGCAGCCTGTATTTTTTTAACAAGTGTACATTAATAATTAAGCATTTCTGCACTTTTACATGTGTTTCATTGTCAAATTCCAG